AATGGTGGCGTTTAAGATATAAACGATCAGTCTAGGATTGTTACTATTTTGTGTATAAGATATAAACGATCAGTCTAGGATTGTTACTATTTTAAGAGGACGGAACTATATATTATCTTCCTTGAAACAACATAATCACAAAACAAACACAACTATTTACATTTTTCATTTACAAACATGAACTTTACTTTATGTTTAATTATTTACTAAATTAACTTTGTAAAGTCTATCAAATTTTTACTCTACTTTTATTTGTTTCGATTAATAACAACCACTTATGCTACTCCACTAATAATCAGAAAAGATCATTGTCTTCAACATACTTACAACATCAAATTTCTGAACATAATCTCTTCACCAAGGCCACAAAATAAATCGCAACTTTTATAATAACATATATGAATCCGGCGCGTAGCGCCGGTACACCACTAGTATATATATAAAACAAATATTTTGATAAAATTTCTTAGTGATAACTGATAACACATCCTCACATTTTTAGATCTAATAAACGAAATTGGCGGGTAGTTACTAATATGATAAGGCCTATTAACATTTACTAAATTACTAAGACAATGTTTTTACTCTATTGATACAAATCAGTCTATAAATTTCGGAATAATTACAACGCATAGCAAAATTTGGTGGGATGAGTACTTTGTTGAGCAAACACTGTATATGAAAATGCTCATTTTGCTTTTATATAGGATCGGAGGGTTAGGAAATTTGAAGATGCGGCGTTTGAAAACGCCAACGAACGTTTTGTTGTTCCGAACTTCCAAGTGTCAAAAAAACTTATAAGAAACATGAAGGATTCGTTTATTCTACCACTTTCGATCAACGTTGATCAAACTGTTTGAGTTGTCTATCCTTATTTGATTGGTCGTTTTCCCACCTTTTGTGTTTTGTTCTTGCTTTTACCAAAGTTAAAATTTTGTTCCTTGCCAAGTGGCTACTCTTTCAAACGTTCGACTTTAGGACCAATCAAGACATTTAGTTTAGTCTTCTATGGAGTCTGTGGATTTTCTCATCCCTGAAACGTTGACTGCCTTTATATGATGCATCTACTTCCTCAATAGTACAGCAAATCGTTAAAAAAACGTGGTGTTTTCATATTGTTAGAAGAAAATTAAATTACAAACCCAACTAATAAAATTAAAAATATAAAACTCAAGTAATCTATAAGAAAATAAGATGAAACATCTTTTTGGAAAAAGCAGTCCAACACTGAACGGTGCTCTTACGTCCCTGGCCCAGCCTTTGGTTAATGCGTGGCTTTACAAAAGCCCCATACACTTATAGTATATTTTATTTTTCTCAATTTAATAAAAACTCAGATTCTTATTTCTGATTTTGTTGTCTTCTCATATAAACCAAAAGTATTTAAAAAAATTCGATATGTTTTCTTTTACGCAAGGATACGATTTGGCCTATAAAAATTCCGAAATTCCCTCTAACTTATTTTATTACTTTTTTTGCTAATAACAAACTCCGAATATTGACGTCACTCAGATATTTTTCTAATATATATTTTTCTCACTACACAACAGTCACACAGTTTTTTGTGTTGTGCGTCTCCTCTCCTGACGATTTGCAGATTCTCAAACCTCTAATGTATCAAGCAAACCAAGACGACGACGAAGATCTTCTCGCTTCCCTTTGCTTCGGCCAAAGGTTCCTTTCTGTTTATTTCTCCTCTGTGTTGTTCAATTATTACGTGCATTACCTTTTTAATATTCTGTATGAACATATGTGGATTGTTTTCTTGTTTTTGTAGCAATGGAAGCGAAGATCCTTACGCGTTTATACAGACAGAACAGGAAAACCTCTTTCCGGAGTTTGGGTCATCTGGTTTGAATCTGCAGCCAGAGGAAGAAGAACAACGAGTATGTAACGTTGGAGGAGATCAGTTTGATGCGTTTAGTGGACTTTTCGATGGAGTTGTGTATAGTAACAGTGTTGGATCAGCACAAATTGATTTGGGGACACATCAAGTCTGTAGCTTTGGAGGGACATCGACTCATTTTCAGCAGGATCAAGCGTCTTGTCCTGTTGTGGAGATCAACTCTTCATCATCTGTTGGAGTTGTCAAGGAAGAGTTTGAGGAAGAATGTTCAAGAAAGAGGTAGCCTTTATTGTTATGGCTGTGATATCTGTAGGGACCAGTTTAGTATCTATTGTCTGAATCTGATTATGTGTGAACAGGGGACGAACTGGGTCATGTAGCAAGCCAGGGACCAAAGCCTGTCGTGAGAAAAAGAGAAGGGAGATGCTAAACGACAAGTATGTTTCAGAGCTTTTTGCCCTAATGCGTTTGTTTTAGATGTTATGTATTCACTTGTGTTTTTTTTTGTTTTTCAGGTTTATGGATTTGAGCTCTGTTTTGGAGCCTACAAGGACACCGAAGACTGATAAACCAGCTATTCTGGATGATGCAATTAGGGTAGTGAATCAGCTCAGAGGTGAAGCTCATGAGCTTAAAGAAACCAACCAGAAGCTTCTAGAAGAAATCAAGAGTCTCAAGGTTGGTTACTTTGTCTTAAAGCCTAAGGCTCATGATACTATGTCATATTTGGTTTTAACTGTGGTCTAAAACAGGCGGAGAAGAATGAGCTAAGGGAAGAAAAGATGGTGTTGAAGTCAGATAAAGAGAAGATGGAGCAACAGATGAAATCTATGGCCTCGTTTTCATCACCTGGTTTCATGCCCTCTCATCCAGGAGCTTTCCATCAAAATAAAATGGCTGTTTACGGGTCTTATGGTTACTATCCAAACATGCCAATGATGCCATACTTACTACCTCCTTCGCAGCGTGATACTTCTCAAGATCAACAGAATTGGTCTAAAGCTGCTTAATATCACAAATCACTTTAAAGTTTTGTTTCCTTGAGACGATTCTTTATTATGTGTATTGCAGTAACTTATTGGGGAATAGATTGTTATGATTTCAAGTGTTAAAGCGCTTATTCTTTTTTTTTTCTTTTCTTTTTACAAATTGAAATTCATTCATCATAAAATACCATTATCTATATAACATCTGGAGACCAAACGAAAACGAAATAGTCCCATAACCAAAAGCCCATAGGAAGCGGCAACTGAAACCCACTCTTGAGCAACTTAAACCTACACCGGGGTGTGATGACTTATGAAAACAGGTAGAACATCGAACTAGATTGACAATAGTACCATAAATGTTTAACATCTACACAAGAACCACATCAGAACACTTAGCCGTATTTAGAAAGGAGAAAATGCCAATGATCAGGAGTTTACTGCTGCTGCCTATAGCCCACCATCCGGTACCTTCCACTTCTGCACCAAAACCACATTTATCCCTGCTGTCTCGCCCGCCAAACGGTAAGACTAAGACCTAGAGACTTCATAACTCGACAAGGGGAACATCCTATTCGGTCCACACGCCTTGAATACATAAACACTCTATAATCTAATAAAGAAGCTCATCCAAATGCCAAGAGGATGAAACCTTGCCAATCGAATCTCTCCATGAACACTCACGGGAGAACCAAACGGCAAGCAACCAAATAACACACTAAAGTACTTATTTTGATCTCTTAGTATCTACTTTTTTTATCTCTTGATTAATTAATACAATGGTGGAAATAAACACACTAAAGTACTTCAACGATAGTGGTTGGATCATAGTAAAAGCATCTTTGCCACTCTGTTTTAAACTCATTTAATCCATAGCCATTGGATCCTGGTCATCTTTTATCTTCAAAGTAAGGCCAACCAACACACCAACCATTTTTTTTTAATTTTTCGTATCAATCTTAGTTTTGATCCAAACAATACATAACTGAAATTTACAGAAAATTGGCTTTTAAGCTCAACTTAAAAAAAACTGTTAATTTTACATAAACAGTATACATTTAAAACATCAAAAAGTTACATTAAATTGAGTATACATTGAAGAGTTAAGAGAAAAAGAAGGTATAATCGTTTCTATTAACAAAATAAAGAATCAAAAATCTTAAATGGCTTTTGTCTAATAAGGGTGTATATATATGGAACTTGTACAAGTGAATGCGGTTGAGTTATTATCCAGAAGCAAGTAACCAAAGAGTGGTAAGTGAAGAAACGGCGATTGTGATCCAAGAAAGGAAAGCTAAAGCAACAGAGAGTTGATACCTCCAACACTCTGCTTCAAAGCTGCAGCTTCCTAAATCCCCAAAGTATAAAACTGTGATTCCTGCAGAGGACGAGGCTCCTGCTAGAGACAATGTTGCTGTCACCTGAAAACACACACAAAGATGGTTTAAGCTTTTGTTAATTTTTTGTGTAATTTGGTAGAGTAGAAGAGATGGACTTACCCAGTCTCCAACTACAAAGAGGCTGATCAAAACCGGGCTAAGAAGCGTTTTCTTTCTTGCTAAAGCGAATGTGTCAAGTATTGCAAGACCGAAACTCCATATGACTTGTAAACCCATTGCTGCAATTAGGTAACTGCAAATCATAGTGAGACGAGTAAGAAAATAAACGGAAAAAATTCACATATTTTTCCTATAAATATGACTAATGTCTCTAAAGGTCGGATTTGCACGTTTCCAAAAGAAGAAAACAAGCCACATTTGTGTAAGAACATAAAATACATAAAAAAATGCACACATAGCTTCTTGTTGTCTTAAAACTTGAGAGAAACCAATATCAACAACTAGGTGGATCCTCCTCAACCATGAAGCAATACACAAATCAAACCACACTTGTCTAGAATAAGATCTTCCAGGTACCTAGCATTAGCCTCAACTCACACAAAACTGAGCAGAGTCTAGAGGTTTAAACTTGTTAAAGATTCTAAAAGCAATTTTCTAAGACGATTGGATCTGTAAAACCTTCCCCAGATTTCAATATCACAACTCCAAGAATGATCAGAGATAAAGAGTGTTGTTTACCAGAAAGAAGTGTAGCTGAAGAATCCACCAGAAGTAACCATGTAAGCAATGGAGGCAGCAGCAAAAACACACTGAGAAATTCTCAAGACAAGACCAGTCAAAGTCCCTGGTGTTCCAGGGATATCTATCATTTCGACACAAACCCAAATCGTCAAAATATAGTCTTTGTTTACTTCTCCGACAAAACTCAGAACACCCAAGATTCTGCGATTTTCCCGGTCAGAAAACAAAATGGTCAGATTTTTATGGGTACGAAATTGAAGGATCAGAGGAGTAGAATATGGGGAAATGGAAGACTTTTTTTTTCTTTTGCTGTGTTTTTTTGTTTGTTTGTTTTTTAACAGAAAAGGATTGGCGAAGAAGGACAAATGCGCATTTTTGTGTGAATGTTTTGTTTAGTGGAAAGTGGAAAAATTAATTAATAGTGAAATTGATTGACAAATTTCTTTTTGTTTTTTAATGATTCATCTTTGAACTTTTGCATTGTTGGAAGTTTGCTTTTTTCCATGGGGAAATTAATTTTTAAAGTTTGGTTGATTCAGTTTAGAATATTTGCACTTCATCACATCCAAGTTCATATTTGCAATTCACATCTTGTCATGAGCATATTTACCAAAAAAAATTGCTTAACTGAGTTAACTCTCTCTATGTGCATATACAAGTTTATTTAACCGATAGAGCCGCTAGTCACGATTAAAGTAAAAACATAATGGAATAGATAATGTAAGATAGATTGATAGCGTTTGTTTATTAGCCAAAAGATGATTCGATGTTTAGATTTTAATACATAAAGGCAAAGGGAATCACATGAAATCTTAAAGAAAAGTAAAATATAGAAAGTGGGCTTAGTTTTAATCAGTTTTGACTTTGGATTCCTTTTTAGCTTTGTTGAGTTTGTGTTTCATTGTCAAGAAAAAGAGCAATGCTCCTACTACGGCCAATCCTTTGATGAAGCTTAAGAGATGCTGAACAAACTCGTTATGTCCGAACAACGAAGAGTTTGTAGCTGCCTGGTCCGTAAGCTACACAAACACACACATTATACTCATCTTAGCAGAAATATCTCGTAAAATCTTATTACACATAGGCCTCAAGAACACACCTCACGGAATTTTGATATGACATTCTCAACATGCTGCTCGTCAAAGTTTGACTTGTAGAAATTGTTTACGGTGTCGTAAGACACAGTTTCGTTCAGGATCTTAACAAACAAACCGACAGGATAAGAAAAAAAAAAGTGAGATTCAAAAGAAACCATAGTGTCTGAAAAGAAAAAGAGATATAGATGTTGTTACTTACCCTTTTGAATTTGAGATAAAGCAGTCCAAATTGTTCAATGTCGACACGATGGCTGTAGAAATCGTGATGGATCATTGTAACAATGCTTTGGTGTAGAAGCTACATAACCAAAACGAAACAGATTGGTTTGGCATGAAACCAAGAGATCTATAACTCTAAGGTAAAGCTCAAAATATAAGAACTGCGTTACATTCCAAGTTATATATATATATATATATATACATATTTTTTATGAAATTGTTATAGTGTACTAATTAGAATTGGTTCTAGGGTTTTCAGGCTTTTTGAAAATTCCTTGTGTTTTGATAGTCTTGGTAAAACTCTGGAGATTCTTAGAGACTAAACGAATCAACCTTGCAGTTAACTAGATATAATAAGAGCACACTGAGAGTAAGTACCAAGAGGAAAGCTCCAAAGAAACTGCCGTAGATGAATATAAGTCCACCAAGCGTCTTCACTATGATACTAATAGCCATAAGATGCTTAATCTGGTCTCCTGAATATCCAAACTTCGGTCTCCAGTAATCCTGTGCTCCTTCCCAGTTGGAGCTGAGCTCCATGTAACTAAATATAACATAGATAAAAAATAGCTCTTGTTGAGTTAAATCACTAACTGAAAGGAGATTCGAGTTAGGTCTCACATCAGACATGAGTTGCGGTCAATATATGGACAACATACCCATCTACTACAAACCTAAGATATACCTTACAGTAATTAAATTTCACATCATCTTCTAATGTTCCTAGGTATATAGAAACCAACCTGATCAATCTCTAGTTAAATTCGAATTAAAGATTGTTATGATGAGGATATTAAATAAAAAAGGGTAAGTAAGAGGAAAACAGAGGAGGTAGTTGATGAGTCTTACTCATGCCAAGCAGAGAAGAAGAAGGAGGAGGAAAAGAGAGCTCTTCCAATAGTTTCAACATAAGGGAAAGTAGCAACTTTACTTCCTAAATTGTTCACTTTTCTCTGCACAAAGTCCATCTCCGGTTCTTATTATGTATCCCCTAATCAAATAAGCCAGGGGACGGTAGGTTAGGGACTTTAGATGATTGTATAGAAAGAAAGTCTTTAACTGGCGTATGGAGAAGAAGTTGAAGAAAAGCCAATAGACGAATTGGATTGGTGATGAGAAGATGATGTAATTACAAGAAAAAATGCGATCAGTCTTCTTCTTGAAAAGAACAGGTGGGTGCACTTTGCACGTTCTAAGCGTTTTTTTTTTGTTCAGCTTAAACTCAAGAATAATTATACTAACTACAACAATAACAAGAAAAAAGAGATTATATATTTTTCTAGTCAGATTTTAATTTTGAAATTTAAGAAACTTAGATGAAGAAAATATAAGACGTGATGTGCACATCAGACTGCATTGACAGCTGTAATTCTGTATATGGAGCACCATTAATGAATAGTATAATATCTCATTCTTACATCTCTATGTACTTGGTGTGCTATCAAGCAAAAAAGCAAGGACACTTAACTTTGGGAAATAAACTGTTTAGATCCCAACATAGTAATCCCTACCGAACACATACAGACAATAACTATAACGGCTCTTGACTCTAGGCATTCGACACTCACACTTTGATATATAACATGCAAATGCAAGACTTAAACAATGTTCACTTGTTTAACAACAAAACCAAATCATTCCTGATTCTTTACGTGCAAAAATAATTGATAGATGTAGACAACAACTCATAGACGGGCTTGCTGAAAACGATAAGTAGAGAGAGTGTGAAGAGGTAGGCTGTGTATTTATTTTGATATCTAGCTATCCTTGTGAGTTATGTTTGTTTTGTTTTGCATATTACAAAAACATCCGAAAAAAACTAAAACTTGATCCATTTGTAAGTTTGTAACCTGCGGTTTTAATGATTCTTTTTTGTATTACAGTGCTTAATCTTGGTTTAATCTAGTTTGGTAAGAAAATAGATTACACGTTAAACACATGAAATACATTAAGATCACTACCGTGCGTTGTCTTCATAATTTATCATAAACAATAGATCTGACAGCAAGACACCTAACTAATCATATTTTATTAATTACAATTTGTTCATAATGTCAAATAGATTGGTTAGAAATCAAAATTCTCTAAAATTCATATAACATGAAACCAAACAATAATAATAATTATAGATTATCAACAGAAAATCAAAGACTTCAAACATTTTAATAGAACAAAAAATTAATATATTTAGAAAGGAAATTATATTTTAATAGGACTAGAAACAAAAAAAAACTTAAAATCAAACTGATATCTATACTATTATTTAAGAAGTAAATTTGCATAGTTGTCATGTTTTCTATAAGTTTAGGTAATTTTGTTTATTTATTATATTTTTAATATTTATATATAATTTATTTTGTAAATATAACAAATTTATATGAATATATCATATTTTTAGAAAATAAGATAATTCTTATGAATTATGTTGTTATCTTGAAATATATTTTATATATAAAACTTAAATTTTAAATTAATATATAAAAAATATTATATTTATTATATAATTAAAACGAATTTATATTAATAATTTACATTTTTCTAAAATAACAAAAATCTTATGTATTATGTTGTTATGTTGAAAATATATTTTCGTATTAAAAAACTTAAAATTAAGATATGAAATTATACTATTAATAATTAAATATAAATCATCAAAAATTATTTGAAAAGTGAATTTGTTTATTCGTCACCATAATCCTACTTAATTTCGACCATTTATCAAAATTTCTCTAATTTTGTTTATTATTGACTATATAATTAAAAATAATTTATATTAATAATATGATATTTTAGAAAATAAGTTGATTCTTATGTATTATGCTGTTATCTTGAAAATATATTTTTCTATTGTAAATTTTAAAAATTAACATGTAAAAAATCTATACTATTATTGAAGAAGTGAATTTGATGTTTGCTGATTTGTCATATTTTCCATAATTTTGGATAATTTCGATAATTTATTATAATTTCTATATTTTATATATAATTTATTATATATTTTAAAAAATTTGTATTAATAGTATCAGATTTTTAGAAAATAAGATACTTCTTATATATTAAGTCGCTGTCTTAAAAATATAATTTTTTATTAGAAATATGAATTAAGATACAAAAAATTGTAGTTATTCTATAATTGAAATAAATTTACACTAATAATATTATACTCTTAGAAAATAAGGCAATTCTTATGTATTATGTTGTTATCTTGAAATTTTATTTTTTATATTATATAATTTAAAAGTAAAATAGAAAAATATATATTATTAATTAAATATAAATCATCACTCAAAAAATTATATATGAGAAGTGAATTTGCTGATTCATTAAGTTCTCAATAATTTTAGGTAATTTTAGTTATATGTCATAATTTCTATAATCTTATATAATTATTATAAATTAAAAAAAATATGCTATTATATTTTGAGAAAATAAATAACTTATGCAATATATTTTCATTTTGAAAATATGTTTTCTATTATAAAATTTAAATTTAAGATATAAAAATTTATAATAAATTAAGTAAAATATTTGTATAAATATTATAATTAAATATAAATCAAGCAAAATAATTATAGAAATATATTCTTTTAAATAGTTCTGATGTTTGAGTTTTGTCATTGATAGTTATTTGATGTTTGATTTCTATTTTTTTAAAAATATAAATAATAATAACTTATTATGCTGATTTTTAAATTAATAAAATATCAACTAATAAATATTCATAAGAGAATTATGTCCGCAAGTGCGGACAAAACACCTAATTCAAATTAAACGTACATAATATCTTTTTATCTTAGAAAATAACGAAATTAATAATATTATCCTACACAAAGACGCATGTTAGTACTTAGTACCTATTAGTTATATAAATACCATTTCTGATATATATTTTTCATTGAAGATGGGTTATTGGCTTGTGCCCCTTCATGATTGGTTTTGATCAATTAACAAAAAGAAAGTGGTGTCATTAAGTTTCAATGTTACCATATAAAATGGTTACGTGAG